TATAAGATATAATTTCAAATAGCCGTTGTGAGAAATAACATTAATCTAAAAGTTTTAACCAGGAAATCCAAATATCAGAAAGCCCATCTTTTCAGATAAAGCATCTCCAATCATTATAGGCTTAGGATGACCATTAATGTTAGACCAGCCAAAAAATTTATTATTTCTCGCCTTAATCAAAGATTTATCATATAATGAAGAAGGAAGCAAATAATTTGACATTTATACACCAACACTTGCAGCTAATAAATTGTCATCTTCTTTAATTTTCAAAACTTTGCTTTTGATCTGTTCAAGTAAAACCTAAACCTGCTGATCTACTTCACTCTAATCAATTTTCTATGTATATAAATCATCTAGTTAAATATCTAGATTTGTTGACTTAATTTAAATTCCCAGCTTAACATCAGACCTTTTTTTTACTGGTTCTCTTTAATTAACTGCTAGACATAATTCTAAACTCTTAAAGTCCTTAGCTATTCCTCTTTCATCTTGATTCTACTTAAGTGCAATAGTCATTGCAGCCAAAAGAAGATCATTAATCCCGCATTTTAGTTTCCGACATATTTTAATTTTAAGATCATCGATCATCATGTCATTGGAAAGAACTATTTTATTTTTATTGGACTCTGATTTTTCAAATAGAGTAGATGACTTAGAAAATTTAGGTATGGTAATAAGGAAATAATAGGGTGCTGCAATAACCTTAAGATATCTCCAAAATTGCTCAGCCATTGATCTTTCTCTTACTAGCGGAGTATTTTATGGATCAAACTGTTCCTGGAGTGCTGAGAAAAGATTTTAAAATCCAACCCCATCACAAATTCCATGACAATAGCTAAAAATTACTGCTGATTGAGTTGCATTAAAGTCTTATTTAATGCGGATTCTATATTGTAGTTCATCTTATCGGAAATTCACTTATTCTTGATTCTTTATATATTAAACTAGATCCTGTTCTGATTTAAAGTCATCTTAGATATGAATAATGCTTCGATCAAGTTATCTTTTAAACTCTTAATCAGAAAATTGTTTGTAATAGTGGTAGTTCAAGAAGCTAACTGCGTGATATCTAAGTTCAGGAATATCCCAAGAATATTTGAGTATTTATTTCCTCACACTATCAGTGTCTTTTAATTTGGATTAAGTAAACACTGTAAAGACTACTTAAGTTTTTGCTTTATAAAACATAATGTTTAATCCATCAGGAATTTTTCTCAATCCAAATAGAACTCTCAAGATGCAGTGAAAGATCTATTCTGCAATTAAGTATGTAATGAGACCGGAAAAGAAACCAAGTTTACAAACGAAAGCAATAAAGATAGTTATTTTCCCAATCGTTGCAAAATTATTAGAGTTTTCCATCTGAACGAAGTATTTTAGTTTTGACTATTTACAGTACCAAATTA